TGTTATGTGGAAACTAATTTGACAATAAAGTATTTGTAAAAAAAAAAAAAAGAAAGAAAATGTGTGTCCTTTGCTGCTGTAACAAATCACAGAATTGATGGCTTAAAGCAACACAGGTTTAGTCCTTCACGGATCAGAGTGCAGAAGTCCCAGACGGGCCCGTAGGGCTGCCTCCTTCTGGAGGCTCCAGGAAAGACTCCATCTCTTGCTTTTTCCAGGCTCTAGAGGCACCTTCACTCCTTGGCTCCTGGCCCTTCCAGCACCTACAAAGGCAGTCACATTCAGTCTTCTGGTCCCCACCGCTCTTCCCACCTCCCCCACGCACATCTCCTCCCTGTCGTGAGACCCTGGTGATGACACTGGCTCGCCCAGGCAGTACCCTGTAACCCCCTGTTGAGGAGATGTGCCCTGTAGAGGGAGAAGCAGCCAGAGCGCATGGAAGCCCAAGAGGGCGCAGCCCTGCTCAGGGGGCCTGGCAGCTGGGCTCCACAGAGAGAGGCTGGCGTTCTCGCGGGTCCCGACAGGGGATGTCCGTCCTGGGAGACAGGAAGGGTGCACCCAGTGTGGACTGATGGGCCTGACTCCGGGGGTGAGGGGTGGGGAAGGGGAGCGAGAGTTTACAAGGGCTGGGAGGCGAGCCATGCGGATGGGTGTCTACTTCCAACAAACACGGCTGCATAACAGATTACCACCCACCTTGACGCCTAAAACAACACAAACAGACCATCTCATGGTTCCTGTGGGTCTGAGGTCTGGGCGCAGCTCAGCTGGGTCCTGCGCAGGGTCACAGGGTAGAACCAAGCCCTGGGCCCATCTCATCTGAGGCTGGGGGCCTCTTTCAGACTCACTGGTTGTGAGCAGGACTCAGTTCCTTGCAGTTGCAGAGATGGGGTCCTCATTTTGTTGCTGCCCACCCTCAGGTTCTAGCTGTGTGGCCCCTCCGTGGGCAGCAGGAGAAATCTCTCCGACGCCTTTTAGGTCTGACCCACCCAGGACAATCTTCCACTTGATTAGCTCAAAGTCAACTGGTTCGGGACCTTAGTTACTCTGTAAGATCCCTGGTTCACATAGTGTAACATGACCCCAGAGAGATTCACACTCAGGAGAGGGTGCAAAGGGTATATGCTGCAGAGGTGGATTCATGTAAGGAAATAAATACCATGTTCCACTTATAAAAGCGGCCTGTGGTTGCATTAATAGAAGCACCAAGGGATTCCGCACCCCGGGGGGCTGGACATGTGGCCATGGGGAGCAAGCAAGGAGAATGTGCAAGCTTTAGGAGCCGATGTAGACGGGAAAACCAGAGGTAGCAATTCTGCCTTTTCTTTATGTAAGGTAAAGCATGTGTTCAAGGAAATGTGCGGATCTAACATGTACAGTTCTAAGGATTTTGAGAAATGCACCCATCTAATCCACACACCGGCAAGACAGACAGTATTCCCATTGTCTAAAAAGTCCCCTGTGCCCTGCAGGCCAGGCCTCACACCGAGAGGCGATTGCTGCCTGAGTTTTAGCGCCAGTGAGGAGTGTTGCTGGGCCTCGAGCTTCCTGTGAATGGCCACGCCTGACTTCCACTCAGCGCAACGCGTGTGAAACGTATCCACGTTCATTTGCTCCCTTTTTGTTTTTTTCTGGGCAGCGTTCATGGCACGGGTGAGCCACAGCTGCCCGGCCTCCTGACAGCGGGCAGCCGGGTTGCTTCTAGTTGCTCACTCTTGTAAGTAAGGGTGTGCATCCTCCTCCTACTGGTGAAGAGGTGATGTTCTCATCGCTCTTGGCAGAGACTCAGGAGTGGAGGGGTGAGTGGTGCGGGAGCGCTTGTGTGATTTTAGGAAACCGTGAGGAGATGCTAAGTGGTTGTCCCCTTTCATGCCGTCCCAGCCACATGTGGGGCTCCGTGTCCTCCTGAACACCGGGTGGGCAGGCTAGGTTCAGCCATCTGGTGTGTCGTCAGGGTTTCCCTGGTGTTCCCTGGGAAGCCTGAAGTCTTAACTCCGGAGGTGGACTCTCAGTGTCCAGGGGACCCTAAGTGTCACCGTCTCAACAGCTGGACAGGCCACACCCCTGGCGTCACATGGCTGTCCATCTCTTTAGAAAGTGGCTGCCAGGGGGCACCTGGGGGCTTCATTCAGCTGAGCAACTGACTTCAGCTCGGGTCAGGATCTCATAGTTTGTGAGTTCGAGCCCCACGTCAGGCTCTGTGTTGACAGCACAGAGCCTGGAGCTGCTTAGGATTCTGTGTCTCCCTCTCTCTGCCCCTCCCCCTGCTCGTGCTCTGTCTCTGTCTCTGAAAAACAAATAAACGTTAAAAAAAAAAGAAAGAAAAGAAAGAAAGCAGTGGCTGCCAGACCAGCAGATAGGGACTCTGGGCGGGGACATTGCCCGGGGTAGGAGTGGGGGGCTGGCTCCGAGGGTCCTGGCCAGTGCAGCTCTCTGGCTTGTGCTGCCCATGTGCTTCCAAAAATCTCAGATGGAAAAATGTACCTTCCTGCATATCCTTAGCATAGAAAATGCATGATGAAGACCAAGTGTCAGTTGTAGTAGCAAGTGTAAATGTGTTTGAGTTTTGTATAAACAGCAGGACGGTCAGCAGGGTGGGAAACCCCTCTCGGGGCCACCTGTGAGATGTGCGCCCAAAACGATGCAGCTGCAGAGACCGAAGCAAAAGCACCACCGAGAGACGTCTGCCGAATGTGAGCCAAGGAAACAAGGGTTGTGGGCCTCACGCCTCCAGGCGGAACTCACCGCCGCGGCCCAGGGCAGCGAGGCCGTGGGCACCGAGGAGGGAGAGCTGGTCACGGGTGGGTGGTGCTGACCTGCTGGCGGGGCTCTGGCTCCCCTCTCACACTCGGAGGGATGGACCACGGGGTGTTACGGGCAAGGCCGGAGCTGGTGGATAGAGTGTGGGGAGCTTCCTGGGTCGGCAGATGGGGCAGAGCTGATCGGGGAGCAGGTGGGGGCTGGCAGGGAAACTTCCAAGCACCCTTTGGACTTTTAGTCCCTTTTCCTTCGAGGCCCACTCTTCCCGGGAGGCGGAGGGAATTGCGCCCAGAGGCTCCTAAAGGGGAGAGTGGCAGGGGCCAGGGAGAGGCCTGGGAACGGCCCGCACAATCCTGGGTCGGGACAAGTGGGGTGAGGAAGGACACCAAGCGGCGTCCAGCACCTCCCGCCAAGCCTGTGCCCTGCAGCTCCAACCGCGTGCAGGGGGGGCTCGGGGAGGGGGTGGCAGAGCCGCAGGACCCTGCTGCTCCTGGCCCAGGAATGGATGGGCATCACGGCCCCCTTACAATATTGGGGGAACTGGCTTTGCACTCGTGTTTCAAAACTTCATGCAATGATCTGAAATTCTGCTTTTGTAGATGTGGAACGGGCACGGGCACGATGGAGCCTGATTTCTAAGTGTGAGGCTCCACGGCGTGAAGGAGGCTCCTTATCCTTTCCTCGTGGGCAGCGGGAAGCACAGCGGGGAGCAAAGTGTGGCCCGATTTCGGACCTGGGTTCTCGGCCGTCCGTTCCAGGTAGAGAGATGATTCAGGGACTGAAGACGGGGTCCTTTCTTAAACACACTTCCGCTCTCCCCCTTTCCCTCAGGGGGGGCCTCGTGACCCCTCCCAGGCAGGAGGAGAAACCGCAGACCCCACCTGACCAGGGTGCAGACCAGGAGGGAGCCCGTGCCCGGAGGGGGAGGGGGAGGGGGAGGGTCTGAGGCGGGCACCTTCTTCACGGGGGCCCCTGCTGTCTCCCCCGGCCGGCCCTCTGGCCTCCCCTCGGTGGGCACCAGGTGGCCCAAAATGGAGCAGTGGGCGATGCTGCTCTGGCGAGGGGCCTTGGGCCTCCTCGCGGCCCTCCCACCTGGGGGTTACAGTTTTGTGAACCCATTTTGCAATCACAAGAGTGAGGTGAGGGGCAGGTGACGCTCAAGGTTACCTGGCTGTGGGTGGGGGGAAGGAGACAGGGTCTGTGGCCGCTGAGGGACAGCGCTCAGGCTGGGGGCTCGCGGGGCCTGGCGGGCGCACGGCGGGCTCGCGTCACTGCGTGCGGGCCCCAGGGATGCCGGCCGAGGGGATGGAGACGGTCCCGGCCGGCAGCTGTCAGGTTCTGGTCAGGTGCGTGTGTGACGTAGTGCAGGGGTGAGACAGGGCGTCGCGGAGAGCCCCTTGGCAGACTGTGCTGACACAGGCCAGCTCTGCTGTTCTGCGCTGGAGTCGTGGCCCGGCCCCACTGCCCGGCTTTCAGCGTGTGTCCCGCGAAGGGTGTCGTCCCTGCCCCTGCTTGTCAGGTTCCCTCCTGGCTAGGACCCCGTGCAGTGCGTGCCACCTGCTTCTACTGGCCCTGGTGCCTGTGGGCGCCCGTCCCGCACACCTGCCCCCCCTGCCCCTGGGGCCCGAGCGCAGCCGGTCCCACACCCTCCCCTCACCGTCTGGCAGCCCTGCGGCAGGGCGCCGAGCACTCAAGATTCCAGTGGCTGTGCGTGTCTCCCTCGGGAAGCTGAGCCACGCTGTGCTTCCCCGTCCACTTCTGCCCTTTCTGAGGCCAGGGCCACCCCTGGGAAGGGGACAGCCACGGCTGCCTGCCACCTCCCTCCGGACAGGGGCCGGGCCCCCCAGGCAGCTTGCCGTGGGGCCTGCCTCCCGCCTCTTCCTTGCTGCTGCTGGTGCCACAATGCTGGCCTTTCTGGGGTTCGCCATGTTGGCTCTGACCGGCTCTCCCAGCCCTCGGAGACCTAATGTGCTTCTGATTTTGCGGCTCAGGGTGTCGGGCCCTCCCCGCTCCTCCCCATCCATGCAGGCCTCCCTTAGCCTCAGAGCGCTGTCCGCCTGGCGCCAGGCGGGAAGACAGTGAGCCGGCCGGGCCCCTGCCCATCTCCACGCTCTCCTCCTGCCGTTTTCACTCCGCAGAAAGATGACCACGGACAGAGGAGGGAAACTTTTATTTCAAAAAGTCTCTGATAGACACAGTGAGACAAAACACAGGAAGGACTAAAAATAAAACCAAGAGGATCTTCAATAAAATGTGGAACCAATCACTCCCTTGAGGAAAAAGAGCTTTGGGTTATTTTTTATTTATTTATTTATTTATTTATTTATTTATTTATTTATTTATTTTTAAACACATCACTGTGTGCCACTGGATGGCCCAGGGCTCCGAGTAAAAGGGGCGGGGGTCTACAGGTAGCACCTTTGTAATTGGGGTTTTTTTTCGGGGACACAGGGTCGGGGAGTCACCATTTTCTGCCGCCTTCTGGAGATGCTGGTTGGTGTTTGCTCGCCCTGAGCTCTGCGGCTGAGCCCTCGGGAACCAAGGTCTGAGCCCGGAAGGAGGAGAACCTCATGTGGAGGAGTCTGCTCGCCAGGGGTCATGTTTTAAAAATCCTCTCAACCGTGACTTTCCAGAAACGAAGCATCCACCATCTCACACGACTTTACTAGCAGAATTCGAGAGTGTACATGAAAGGCTAACTAAAGAATTCTGTAGGGTTAGCAAGAAAAATCAGGCTACGGGGGGGGGGGGGCGTGCGGGAGGGGAGGCCGCACTCAAGCGACCCCCCCAGAACGGGAGGAGGGAGGCAGCCTCGGGGATTCAGAGCCTGCTGGGGGCTGGGGGGTGGGCTGGGGGCTGCTAACACGAGAGCGGGGCAGGCGCTGGCGAGGTCCCGGGACCACAGGGGTGGGCAGAGCACACGCGGCTTTTCAAGCCTTTCCTTTAAAACACTGAGCTCATCAGGCTGGTCAGGAGCATTCATGTCACGTCTCACTTCCTGCCCTGGTGGCGGGAGAGGCGCCCGAGCTAGCCCTGCGCCACCTTCCTGGACACAGTCTGGTAGAAGACGCCGCGCATCAGGGCCTGGTAGCTGGGCACACGGAACAGGTGGCGCTCACCATAGGCCACGTCATACTCGGCCGCCTTGCCCGTGACCAGGACGCGGATGTGGGGCTCGTTCACCTGGCGGCCCACCGCCACCACGAAGATCTCGATGTCTGCCCGCTGGGCCTCCTGCACCGCCTTCTCGATGGCCGCCGCCGTGGTGCCCTGCGAGTTGCCGTCGGAGAAGAGCAGCAGCCTCTTCTTGGCTGCGCCCGACGAGGCCTCGCGGTAGAAGCGCGTCACGTAGCTGAGGGCGTCGTTGACGTCGGTGGCGTCGTTGAAGAAGGTCATGCCGTCCACGGTGTTGGCCAGCACGGTGTAGTTGTGCAGGAACTGCAGCGAGGCGCGCGCAGGCTGCTGCTGCCTGGGGCCGCTGTACTGCACCACCGACACCCGCACGTCGTGCGAGGGGCTCGTCCTGCCCGCCGTCAGGAAGCGCTCGGCCAGCCGCTTGGCGAAGCTCCTGGTGGTGTCGAAGTTGTGGCTGCCCACACTGGCCGAGCCGTCCAGCAGGATGGTGATGTCGGCCGGCGAGGAGAAGGTGACTGCGGGGGGCGGGGGGCGGATTGGTGCCCGGCCGGGGGCCCCCAACTCAGCCGCCCCAGACTCCCCTTCCCTCCCACCCTCCTCCAGGCCCCCCCCAGCACCCTGTGCACACACTTCCCTCCCACCCTCCTCCAGGACCCCCCCCCCGCCACAGCACCCTGTCCACACCCCTCAGTACTCACTTGGGCAGGTGTAGTCTGGGCATTTTTTGTCTGTAAGAGAGAAGACCCCCACGTGGCGTGAAGCAGTGATCAAGCCCGTGCTCCCGGCTGTGGCCCCAGTACAGGGGCAGCAAAGCTCCCGCACGGCAGGCGCGGTGTGTGTGCCCTGTGTGCACAGGTGACGCCCCAAAACGCCGGGCCATCACCTGCTCGGCCTGCTCGGCCCCACCAAGAAGGGGCTCCCCCTATTCGAGCGGGGGCCTTGAGGCCTTGGGGCAGCCCCCCACCTGCTGTTCTGTGGTCCTCACACCAACCCAGTGAGGGGCGGGGGGCAGCGCCTGGGCCCCTCCGAGGACAGGGCAGCCGGAGCTCAGCGAGGAGACAGGATGGTCTGCAGCTCAGACACCCCGCGGGCGACACTGACCAGGTGCCAGCCAGGCAGGCATATCTGATGGCAGCGGCTGCCTGTGCTGTAGCCCCAGGCCTACCACCAGGCCGAGGCCGGGAAGGCGTGTTCTTCGGGGCGACGGCGGGTGCGTGGCTCTGAGTGCTCTTGGGCTCCAAGGCCAACTAACATACCAGCATGCGAGGTGCCTGCCGGGGCCACAGCAAGCACGGGACAAAGTGAGAGAAGCACAGTGCGTCCCACACTGGGAGCGCGGGGGCTGGGCCACGGCGTCCTCAGCCTGTGGGGAGGCCGTCGTGCTGCTGGCCGGGGTGCTGGGCCCTGGCAGCCAGGACATTGTGGGGCCGGGAGCAGAGCCGCGCCTCTGCTGCCCCATGCTGCCCTCCCAGCATGGCCGGCGTCCCCCCTGAGCCCCCCTGAGCACCCCCGAGCTTTCCCCGAGCCCTCCCAGCCCCTCCTGAGCCTCCCTCGTCACCCCAGCCCCCACGAGCCCCCGCGAGCACCCCCCCAAACCCACCTATGCAGATCTGGGTGGTGATGTTCTTCAGGAATGCGTCCTCCAGCAGCTCGGCGTAGTTCTCCTTCACCAGCGAGATGCCCGGTGGGCCCTGGGGCGCCAGCCCATGGCAGGAGATGACGTTGAGCTGGTCGGAGCCCGCCACAAAGCCAAACATGTCCTTGATGCCAACAGAGACCACCTGCGGGGGAGGGACGGTGTCGGCGTGGCCCAGGCAGACAAAGTCCCCACCTTCCGGGGGCGGGGGGGACAGCGTGTGGTGTGGGGGAGCCCCACCTGGATGTCTGGGCCGCAGAGCACGTTGAGCGGGGTGGGGTCCCTCTGGGTGTCGGAGCGGCCGTCAGTGATGACTAGTGCTATCCGGTTGTTGGTCGTGGGCGGCAGCAGCTGGTTCCGCGTGTACTGCAGGGCCTCGCCCGTGAACGTGCCCCCCGCCATCCACTGCAGCTTCTTGATGGCTCTGTGGGGCCAGAGCGCGTACTGTCAGGGCTGGGCGGGGGCAGGGCCGGGCGGCACGGGGTGGGGGCCTGCCAGGGGCCTTCAGGGCGGTGGTGGCCCGGCACACGGCACTCACTCCTTGAGCTCCTGAACGTTCTTGATGTTGGAGTTTCTCAGGTCCACGTGCTCCTGCATCTGGTTGTGGCTGTACTGCACCACGCCCGCGTGAGACTCCTCGGGCTCAAACTGCACGTGTCACGCGCCAAGGTCAGGAGGGGACGTGGGGGCCCCACAGCCACTCCTCCACCCACCATCTGTCCCTGCCCCACAAGCCCCCCGACACTCACACTCTGGTGGGTGGAGGTTACGGCTTGTGACAAGCAAAGTCCCTGGGAGCCTCCCCTTTCCAGCCTGGTGTCCCTGGGAAGCACCAGGGCGGGTCTGCCTCACCTTGACCAGCTCGTCTCTGCTCAGCCGGTCGATGACCTTGATGATGAAGTCCTTGGCGATCTCAAAGTTCTGCAGGCCGATGCTCTCCGAGCTGTCCAGCACGAAGAGGATGTCGATGGGGCCACACTTGCACTCTGCAGGCGAGGAAGGGGTCAGCCCTTGGGGTCCCAGGGCCCCGCTCGGCCGAACTCGCCCTCCAGCCGGGACCTGGGGCTTCTGGGCCCCGCCTGTGGCTGGCCTCGTGGGTTCCCGTGGCGAGGACGGGGATGGGCCAGCGCCCCAAGGCCATGGTGGCACGGGGAGGGCGTGAGGCTCCCTGCTGCTCTACAGCATAAACTAGGAGGAGGGGGCACAGCCCTGCCACCCACAGGGAACCCTCTAGAAATATTCAAATGACTCACCACAGCAAGCTGGGGAAAAGAGGAGAAAGCAGTTATATTCCAGTCGAGACTCCACGTCGTATTAGAAATCAGGTCATAAACCCTCTGCCAGCCCCCCGCCCTCCTGAATCGCCCTCACCAGGGTGGGCTGTTCTGCCCGGTGCTCCGGCCACCCGGACAGGGCGGTGGGGGGTGACAGTGGCTTGGCCCGCGCTCTCCACCTCCGGGGACCTTCTCGTGGGTGGGGCACACTCCCGCCCCCCCTGTTTGCCTCCCTCTGCGAGTGCCAGCGGTGGGCGCAGGGGCCAGAGGCACCCAGTTCCTTCCAACGGAGACAATAGAGATACTCACAGCACATTTTCATGATGATGTCCAAGATCTCACATTCCTGGAGGGGAAGAGACACGGGCACCAGGGGCTGAGCTGGTCGCCCACCCTGGGGGCCGCAGCGGGACAGGGTGGGGCCGCAGCTCTGACTTTCTGGAGTACTAGGCACCCCGGAGCGGGGGCACCTGACGTGGTCACTGATACGTGGCCCCTCCTCGTTCCTCCACTGGGTCATGGCTCCCCACCCCACGGATCCTTGGCCAGAGTGGACGGCCCCCGGGGATGTTCACAGACACCCACTTACATCTGGACCTGGTGGTCCTGTGTGTCCTGGGGGTCCCTGTCAGAGGAAGCACCGGAAAAAAACTGGTAAGGGCGCATCCCTTCCTGAGCTGCGGGTCTGACGGGAGCCCTGAGCAAGCCCACCCTCACCCTCCTGGCCTTCGGGCCGACCCCACCTCCCATGAGGAGCCCCTGAACGCCTTCGTGCGTGGGGCTGGTGGAGAGCCGCTAACTGCCATCTGCTCTGTGATCACTGGCCGGCACTTACTCCCTGGTCCGGGGGCCAGCGGGTGGGCCGGGCATGGACCTCACCGTTGGGGGGATAGTTCTCCCCAGTCTGACTGTGCCACCTTGATGGACAGGGCCCCCACAAGCACCCACCCCGGGCTCTGCTGTGCTCCCTTCATGTCTCACCTGCTGACTGGCTGCTTCCCCTTCTCTGAGCCCCCACAACCCTTGAAATTGCCCGTTCCCTCCCAACTCTGCTGTCCAAGTGCCAGCCTCCTTGAAGCCTTCCCCGGGGACCTACTCCCCAGCTCCCACCCCTACCCCTTGCAGCCTCGGAACTCCAGCCCTACCTCGGCCGGCCACACCCACTCACCTGGGGGCCTTCGGGGCCCCGGTACCCCTTGGCTCCTTTGACGCCCGGGGGTGAGATGTCATTGTTCTGGAAGGGAACAGCACAGTGTCACCAGACCCAGCCGCCGCCAACCAGCCTGCTGCATTGCCCGCGTCCCGTGTGTCCTGATCCCCCCACGCCCACCCTCAGAGCCTCAGCAGCCCGGGTGGCACGCAGCTGCCTCCCTCTACAGCCCCCGGTGGTGACTTCCCAACATCCTGGGTGGGCCCTGCACTCACGTCCTCTCCAGGGTCTCCGGGTTCTCCCTCGTCCCCCTTGAGGCCAGGGTAGCCTTTGGTGCCCTGCGGGTGACAGGAGAGCGCGCGGTCGGCGTGGAGGAGGGTCTGCAGGAGACCCTCCGGGGATGTGTGTGTGGCTGGGACCCTGGCCCGGGACGGGGTGGGTGCTGAGGGCCTGGGCTCTGGGGGAGGCAGGCCGGTCGGCTGGGCGGGGGCAGAGCCACATCTCCACGCAGGCGAGCGCCCGGGCGGGGGCGGCTCTCCCCCCGCGCCGGCCTCCCGCCGTCCCGCTCCTCTGCCAGTTTCCTGTTTCCAATCAGCCTTATTGACCGTAGGTCACAGCGCTGCATTTGCTTTTCAGGAAGCCGAAGTTTTACAGGGAAGAGAGGAGACACAGGGCCGTCGGGCAGGTCTTCCTGGGGGAGGCCCCGCAGCCAAGCGCCAGCCGGAGGGCACCCAAGGCCGAGGGGCGCGTCGGTGCCCAGGGCAGGGGCTCCCACAGGCTGAGACACGCGTGGGAGGGGCCTCGGGGCCAAGCCTGTGCTGGGGCCACGTGTGAAGGTGTGCGTGCGTGTGGCGCATGGGTGCGTGTGAACACAGCAGTAACCCGACGGTGGGCGTGTACTCACGTTTATCCCGGGGGGGCCCCTGCTGCCTGGATAGCCCTGCAGGGGAAGGCAGGCCAGTCAGGCCAGGCGCTGGTTTGGCCGAGGAGGGGGGGAGGGTGACCAATGGATAATCCCCTCCATGACATCCTGGTCCAGCCCATGGTCCTGGGTCCCACCCGGCTGGCCCAAAGGGGGTGTTAGCAAGGGGTCTGGGGCACTCACAGGGAAGCCAGGGAAGCCCTCAGTGCCGTTTCCGGGTGGGCCGTCTTCCCCCTGCGGAGAGCAGACCAAGTCCGGTCACTGGGCATCGCCCAGGCACAGGAAGGCCCCCAGGGCCCCCCCCCCTGCCCAGGACTGCCCTGTGCGTCCCCAGACTTCGGAGTGGGAGGGGCAGCGCCGGCAGTGCCCTAGACAGAGGGGACAGTCACTCGTGGAGGGCACACCTGTCCAGACACTGCGGCCGGGACCCTCTTCCCTGCAGGGGCCTGGGCTCGAGCCAGGGCCTACAGGCCCCAGCAGCCGGGCACCGCCCCCACCCAGGCCCCGAGCCCTCGGGACCACCACTCACCCTTTCGCCCATCAGCCCGGGGTCTCCGGGGGGTCCTGCAGGCCCTGGGGCCCCTCTGGCACCCTAAGGAGGGGGAGGGGGTTGGGGAAAGTTACGGGGACATCCAAGCAGTGAGCAGTGCAGGCCCGGGGGCACGACACGTCTCTGCAGAAGTGGGGGGGCCGAGCGACGTAAAACAGCACGTGTCTAGTCCCCAGCACAGCAGCCACTACGAGGAGGGTTTTAAATCCGTCGTCCTGGACACGGTGTAACGGGGCCAACCGACCCCGACGGGAGTCCGCACCCCCTGCAGCACCCCCGGGACGGGACCAGAAATGGGGCTATGACCCTACCCACCAGACCCCTGGGGCTGGGGGTGCCAACCCCAGAGCTCAGAAAAACAGGGACACGGCACACACGGCACGCGCAAACACATGTCAGCCACGGTTTGCAACATCTTCAGGGTTTCAGAAAATTTCATAATGACAAAATTAAAAGAACAACAACTTTGTAAAGCCAAATTTATAAGGCATAATATGGAAACAAGAAAAAATATTGGAAAGAAATAAGCTAAAATGTTTTGTATTGTTTATCTCTGGGTGGTAGTGGTTTAGATTTCAATTTTCTGTTTTATTTTTTTTTCTACATTTTTCAAGTTTCCTGAAAGACACAGATGCCATAAAACATTTATGCATCTACCTAGACTGGTGGTGCTCTCCCGTCCTCAGGGTCCTCGGGGGTGGGGTCGGGGGCTGGGGGCAGGGGGGCTACTCACCTCAAGCCCTGGAGGCCCCTCGTCACCTCGGTACCCTTTGGGTCCAATGGGGCCAGCCTCGCCCTGCAAAGACGACATGCGCGTCAGACCCCTCTGAGCCCCGCCCCCGCCCTCCGGGCCCCAGACCCTGCTGGGGGCCTGCTTGTGGGTCACACCTCTCCCTGGAGGCCGGCTGCCTGCCTTTCTGGCTCCACAGTCTTGGTCCCCTGAGCACTTCAGGGACACCCCCAGCCGGGCCCCAAGAACGGGCGAGCACGAACCACACATGGAGCCGGCTGGCCTGCCTGGCCACTCGGGGACCCAGCCAGCCATGACCCTGGACTCCAAAGGTCGCCTGCCAGCCCATCATCAGGCGGATGCCTCCTGGTGAGATTGTCTTCACTAGGCCCCTCTCACAGAGGCGACAACCTCCCATATCCGGCCGGTCCCATCGGGCAGCGGGCAGCCGGGAGGCCCCTGAGGCGACCACAGGAGGGTCCGGCTCCGGCCTCAGGCGTCAGCATCACACACTTAGCCTGGGGCCTTGCTCCCGACCGTGAGGACCAGCAGCCCCCACCTCGGGTAGGGGTAGGTCTGGGAACATGAAACGGGGGCCAGGAGGGAGAATGGGGAGCAGAGGCCCTCTGTACCCCAGGCCAGGCCAGGGGCAGGCACGTCCCGGGCCCCAGGGGACAGGGGTACTGTGACCCCGCAGACCGCGGAGGGCCATGCGGGGGACAGTTTCTGCAGAGCTGCCCCAGCGCCTCCTGGGACACGGCCCGAGGGCCCCCCGCTCTGGGTGGGCAGGGCTGGCGTCCACACGGGGAGGCCGCGGGGCCACGGCCCGAGGCCTGGCAGGGGCTGCGCACCAGGACTGCACCCTCCCTCCGGTTTCTGGACACTCCTCTGCTCTGCGAAAACTCACTTCCAGAAACATCTGCATGGACACCCTGGTGCAGAAGCCAACGGCCTAGCGGGTCTGGAGTCGTGGGGCCACAACGGGGTCAGGAGGGAGGCCGCTCCAGAGGCAGAAACCGCGCTGAGGCCGGGAAGGCGGACGTCCAGTGTGGACAAACCAGATTCCACAGCCTCCTGACCTCCCCACCCCTTCACGGAGGGTTCAGGAGAAGCAACCAGAGAGCCACCAGCCAGGAGCAGACCCTCCCCAGCTGGGCCACGGGCTGGGGGCGCGGGACCTCCCCGCAGTCTCCGGTGGGTCTGGCTTTTACGGTGACAGTCACCCTGGGACAAGCAGGTGCTACCGAGGTGAAGCCCAGCGACACTTCCCCCTCTTAGCGTCTTACGCTTCAGCGCCTTCAACAACTTCCTAGTTGGGCCTCGTGGGAGGGACCAGACCATCGGGATGGTGGCCGGCGTGCCCTGGCCGCACTGACCATCCCTGGGGAACAGCCACGTTGCCTGAGGAAGGCAGGGGAGCCTGGGAAGGTCGCAGGCGCCCGGAGCAGACCCCTGAGGACACCGCGTCACAGCGGGGGCAGGGACTCCAGAAAGACGCAGAGGAGAGAGGTCACAACCCCCAGCACCAGGAAAGGTGGCTGTTGTGCCCGCCGCCTAGCTGTTCACAGAAAAGGTCCAGCCGCCCCCGCTTCTGACCCTAGTGGTTGCATCAAAGAGGAAGAATTCAGGAAAAGGGGGAAGGTATTTGGAATCTTGTGAATGAGCAGGACATCCTGAACCACAGGCTCCCGGGACAAAGCCACACGCAGACGACAAAATATGTCTGTGGCTACGAGCCTCCTGCACCTCAGCCTGGAAACAGACACAGCGGAGAAGGGACCGCTGAAGGGGCCCCACTCGGCCTTTCCCGTAGACCCTGGCGCGGAGCCGCAGAGCCCGGGGCTGCCCCTGAGGCGCGTGACGCACAGGGAGGGGACTCCATCCTGTGTGCGGAGGTGCAGATGCAGTGGCTGCTTTACACTCTTGGCGAGCGTGAGTGGGGCAGGTCAAGCAGAAAACATACACACGTCACTTGGCCAAGACATTATGCTGCTAAGAATTCACATTCTGGATGTAGCCTTGGAAGTATTTCAAGATGGATGGATGGATGGACGGACAGACAAATGGAGACAAACGAGCTGAGTGAGACAGACGAGCACGGATATTTACTTCCGGGATTTTCTGCAGAGCAAAACCCTGGAGGCTGCCTGCATGCGCAGCGACAGCGGACCAGACGGGCCACTCTGCAGGCGCACAGGTGGGGCCGTGGGCTGTGTCAACGGAACCCGTACTCCCGCACCCTCACTCCCCATGCTTTGTCTGGAAGGATTCTAGAAGAAACTAGATTTTAGAAGAAAGTAAGATGGGTCCCTGCGGGGGAGGCTCAGGGACAGGGGGACTAAGCCCTTCTGCTGGAGCTACTGACTTGACTGCTTCTCCCAAACAGGGGACGTGGCCTGTTTACGGGGCCTTGTGTCTATAAGCCAAGGAGCTTCTAGGCCTATTTTACTCCGAGAGGGGGGACCAGACGCTCAGAAGTGTCTGGCTCTGTGCGGGCGGCCCAGGGGCCCAGCAGTGCCTCTCCCGCTCACACGGCCGGCGAGCCCTGCCTGGAATTACGTGCGAGGGGAGTTCCCACGAGCTGGACCCACGGAAGTGGGCGCCCGCCCCCCGCACCCACACTGGACCCAGGTGTGTTGTTAACGCTCCGTCAGGAGACTCAGCAACCCTATTGCAGCTGCAGCTGCTTCTTTCTTGGTTTTTAAATCACTTTTTTGTTAAAATCCCAATTCCAAATTTCTCACCACACGAAAGGCCACCAAAACCCTCAATGCCACAAGCCAAGGCCCCCCCCCCACCCCCCGCCACGGTTGGGCACCACTCGCAGTCTCTCTCCCTGTTCTCTCCAGCCCCCAGCCCCCTCCGCCTGCCCACTGGGAGGTCCCCAGTCCCGGCTCAGAGTCCTCATCAGGCCAGCCAGCCACCTCACCCCTGCAGGGAGGATTTGGGAACACCCAGCGAGCAGGGGGCAGAGGGAGAGGGTCTAGGCCGCCTGAGGGGGTCCCCTGAGGGGTGTGGGGAGGACAGGTCCCACCCAGCCCCTTCCGGTGCTCTTTTGGGGGTGGTCACCCCGACCCACAGCCTGGGCAGGCGGAGGGGGATCTGCAGCACACCACCTCCTGGCAAGGAGGCAGAAAGGCAGACCCCTCCCCCGTGCTGGGGCCGACACTCCATCCGCTCTGGCCCCCTGCTCCCTCGCCCCCACTTTCCTCCCCTCCTCCAGCATGGCCTCTGGAAGGTACCACATCCAGGAGTTCTGGAAACTTCCATGCACTGACACTCAAATCTGCCTCCAGCCAGGATCTCACACCTGAATTCCACACGCTGAGCAAGCCTCTTCCTCACCTGCTGTCTCCTGGGAGCTCAAACACACCATCTCCAGGGTGGGGCGACCCTGCCCCGCCAGGCCAGGGGTGGTCCCAGGGCCCCTCAAGCCCCGGCTGCCATCTCCCAGTGCCAACCGAGCCGGGGCACCCCTCCCACCCACTGTGAGGGCAGAGCTCAGGGCAGCTGAGGGTGCGCCCGCTCAGCTGGGTGGGGTGGCAGGCGCCCACCGGGTGACAGGGGCACAGGCCTGGGCCACCACTCCTGACCCTGGGTGTGGGACGCCCCCCAGGTCAGAAATGGAGAGGGAGCACCCTTAAATCAGGAGCGCCTCCCCCAGATGGCTTCCTACCGGGTCTCCGGGGGTGCCGACGGGGCCTTCTCGTCCCTGGTCGCCTTGGGGTCCAGCTTCGCCCTGGGGAGGAGCGAGCCAGTAAGCGCGGAGGCTGGGAGAGGCCAAGCTGCCCCGGGCAGCCACTGGGCGAGGCCTGGGACCCCCGGCTCTCGAGCCAAAGAGGCCAGAGCCAGGAAGGGCCGCCCTCCACCTCGGGCCTGGCCTCGTCCCGCCCCCGGGTTTCTGCACACGGCGGCCACGTGCACGGCCGTCTAGACATTCGTGAGGCTTCGGGAGGCCACGGTGAGGAGGCCAGCAGCTCCTCCCGGGGCCGGAGGCAGCCGCTTACGTCAGCTGCTCGTCCCGGGGGCTGGAGCCCCGCCCGACCCCTGCCGGCCTCTGTCCACCCGGGGTGCTTCCTGGGCGCTGCCTGGTCTCCCGTCCACTCCCCGAGCTCAGCAGGGTAGGCTTGCAAGGGGCCAGGCCACGCTGTCCCCGCTTTGATGTCCCTCCCCAGCCCCTGCGCTGCGGCCCGGGGGGTTCTGGAGAGCGAACAAGGAGCAAGGACGGGGCAGAAAGCAAGTCTCTCTTCTGGTGACCTTGGCCGCAGGCTAAGCTCGCTCCCCACATCGGGACACCCAGACACTCGTCCTCAGGAGGAGCGGCTTTGCTGGGACCACACGGCCTCCGGCGTCCTGCCCTGCTCTGCGGCGACAAGGTCAGGTCCACACTCAGGTCTGAAGACCACCTCCCCTTCCGGCTGGCTCGGGGGGGGGGGTACTGTCCCCTCCTCTAACCAGGCACGGTCTGTCTGGGGTCTGCCCTGCAGCTCCCGCGGAAGCTTCCAATGAACCAAGGGCCAGAGAGAGCTGTGGAGGGAGGTCGGGCTGTGGCCCATCGTGACCACGAGGTTCGTGCGGGCCTGGCTTCTCGTCGTTCCTGCTTCCGGTTGTAAGAAAGAACCGTCCCAGAGCGCGAGCTCTGTCTGCAACGTTGAAGGGGCTTTCAGGCTGTGGTGTGTGTGTGTGTGTGTGTCTCCATGTGACTGTGGTGTGTGTGTGTGTCTGTGCGTGTATGTGTGCGTGTGTGGCTGTGGTGTGTGTGTGTGTCTCTATGTGATTGTGGTGTGTGTGTGTGTGGCTGTGGTGTGTGAGTGTGTGGCTCTGTGTGTGTGTGTGTGTCTGTGTGTGTGTATGGCTGTGTATGTGTGTGTGTGTGTGTGTATGGCTGTGTGTGTGTGTGTGTGTGTGTGTGTGTGTGTGTGAGAGTATCCCCCCCACACTGGTCATCAGTGGTGGGGGGAGGGGATAACCCCACCCCTCTCTCTCCTCAGCTGGGCCACACCCCCCTTCTCGGGCCCTGCTCACACCCTCCAGATGCCCCGGGGGCGGGGGGGGGGCGGCAGGGGGCAGGGGCTGGGCGGCACCTGCCACACTTCCCGAGCCGGGGAGACAGACTTGGGGAAAGCAGCAGGCGAGGGTGTGGGTGAAATCTAGGTGCCAGAGGGACTAGGTGGCATGTGTCCTGTGAGGCTGCTGGCCTGACCCCACCAGACCTCACTCTCTGGCCCCTCCTGGGACGTGGGGTCTCGGCTCAGTGAGCGGCGACTCACCGGGTCTCCCCTGGGGCCGCGCACGCCTGGGGTCCCCCGTGGTCCTCTCTCCCCAGGGCCGCCCTGTGTGGAGACGGCAGGGGAGGTGAGGCTGGGCGTGGGCTGGGCCCGCAGCAGCACAGCCGCCCCCGCAGAGCCCGGCGCCGCCCGCCCCGCTCACCCTCTCTCCCGGGGCGCCGTCCGGTCCTGGGTTTCCCTGGGATGAAGAGGAACAAACATGAGTCTGGGACGGGGACTCTGTTCAGGGCCTGGAGCTAGGACGGGGGTCACACGGGGCGCTCACCTCGTCGCCGGCCTCTCCCTTCTCTCCCGGGGGACCAGGCAGCCCCGGCTCGCCCTGGGGGAGAACAAGGGTAGAACTGGGCCGGGGCTGAGGCCCCCCCAGCCCCACCCCCACTGCCTGGGGGGCCCCGTGAGCGCTCACCTCGTCCCCAGGGGGCCCCGTGCTCCCCGGCCTCCCAGGCTCCCCGTCAGCTCCAGGCGCACCCTGGAAAGATCAGGAAAGGTCAGCCTGCGGGAGGCTACGGCCGGCCCTGCACCGGCCCCCTCGCCCCGACCTGGGCCGCTCCCCCTGACCAAGCAGGGACTCTGAGGACCCTCCCCAGCCACCCAGATCTCTGTAGGAATCCCGCGTAAGCCGCCTCCCCCTGTCGCCCGCTGTTCAAGCCCCCCACGCAGAGGGTGCGCCAGCTCCGGTCCGGGGCCCACAGAGAAGTCGGCCGGACTCTGAAAACCCGGTCCAGGAGGCCCGCGCGGTTAGGACGCGCTCAGGCAACGGTACTTCTCCATCTTTCTCGGCACTTCCTGCTGCTGGAGACTCCAGAAGAGCACGGGCAGCAGGAAGCTGTGCTCTGAGTTAGACTCAAAGCCTTGGGTCCTCAGTTCACTTTCCGCCTCCTGTTTGTTGTTGAGTTGTGACCCTCATGTGAGCAGACGGGCTCTAGGCCGTGAGGACTCCTGGTCCGTCCGTTCCAGGCGGGCAGCAGGATGGACCCCGGGGCCCGTCCGAGGCGCAGCGACACGCCGTTGCAGGGGGCACAGGGGGCACTCCCCTTGAGCGGCCGCACCTGCCCTCAGTTGTGGCTTTGTCTTCCACTCTCTCCAGCCCAGCGTCCTGCCTGCCCACTGGGGGGCCTGGACCTCACAGGGCGCGCAGAGATCTGCGTCCAGAAGGGTTTCTGACGCATGCTGGGTACGCAGGGCAGACCGGGCGGACAGCACTGTGTCACTCACCTTTTCTCCTTTCAGTCCGAAGGCACCCACGTCGCCCTTGGGCCCGGGGGGTCCTTGAGTTCCCTGGCGAGAAATTGTAGCAGGTCAGTCCTCGGTCTTCAACAAGCAGCCATTGGGCTGCACACGAATAGAAACTGAAAAGGCAGGTTTGCCCTGGGTACAGCCCCCTGCCCCCCATGACCTCTTACAGCTTCAGAAGAAGGGCTGAGTCTGTATTCGCTCAGGAGAACTTAGCCTTAAAATGTGAGTGACAGAATGCGACTTACGTCGAATCCAGGCGAGCCCTTGCAGCCTGGCAGGCCGGGGTACCCCGTCTCCCCCTGGAGGTAGCAAGGCAGAGTCAGAGGTCAAGGCTTTCGCTCTAGCTCATCTATCCCCTCCCAGGAAAGCCCCACCAGGACGACGGTCTGAACTTGGCCAGGAGGCTTGGGGTCCACTGGGGACTGGGGCTTGGCAGGAAATATCTTCTGCCTTTCTTACCACCTCCAAGTCACCAGCCCTCCCACCAGGCAGGGTTACCTTCATGCCGTCCACGCCATCGATGCCACGCTTGCCCTTCTCACCCTGCAAGGCGCAAAGACCAAAGGAGGGTTCAGGAAGGTCAGACAGGCCCCTCTGGGGCAGAAGACACGTGCCGCGCCCACACTCACCTTGTAGCCCTTGGATCCCCTGGAGCCCTGTGGAGACAGGAGGGAGCGTGAGGCGTGGTCCTCCCACACGGGGCCAGTTCCCGGGGAGGCAAACGAGGGCGGCCAGGATGGGTCCCCCACCAGCTTGTCACGGCTCAGATGGGCTGGAGATGGGCCGTGTTACCTCTTGTGCGTGTGGGGGGCGGCTCTGTGCCCCAAAGTCCTGCCTTACTCACCTTCTCCCCTCGGCTCCCTTTTTCTCCCTAAAGAGCAGACAGAGGAGGAGAGTGTCACTGGTGTCCTGGGGTGGAGACCCCGGGCTGAGCGCAGCTGTGACCCAGGAAGGGCCGGCTGCTCCGGAGGAGGAGGGGGAGACGTACCTTCATCCCCTGGTAGCCGACGGGTCCGAGGTCTCCAGGCCTTCCCTGGAACGCAGAGGAGGGCGCATGACAGGCAGCCCTGGGGACAGCCACAGCCCCCACCCAGCCTACCTTGACCCCCACTCTGCTCAGGTGTGGTCAGCCAGAGAGACCTGGCTGGCTGACCACTGACCGAGTCCCAGACAGCAGCCTCGATGTGAAGGCTCCGTCTCCCAGTCCTGGGGCTCATCAGTGAAGTCCAGGGAGGAGGGGGGGCAGGGAAGGTCTAGGACACCCCCCCAGGAGGAGAGGGGGGAGGGGAAGGTCTAGGCCCCCAGGAAGGGGGGGAGGAGAAGGTCTAAGAACCCCCCAGGAGGAGGGGGGAGGGGAAGGTTTAGGAACCCCCCAGGAGGAGGGGGGAAGGGAAGGTCTAGGCCACCAGGAGGAGAGGGGCGTGAGCTGGGCCTGAATGGAGGTCTAGGTGGAATGTACTGGAAGGAATGGTTGTGGGTGGATCCTCTGGCCCTTGCTGCTCTAGAAGCCATGTCCTCTCAGGGTCAGTCCACATGACCATGGTGTCCAGAAACCAGCCATCCTTCTAGAAGTTTCCATTGCCCGGCTACCCTCCCAGCCTCAGGTTTGTCAGTACCCCCCACCCCCTGAGGTCAGGTGCTTGGCACTCACGGGGTCTCCGGCTTCTCCTTTCTCTCCTGGGAGACCTGGCTTCCCACGTTCCCCCTGCAACACAGAGCAGGTCAAGATTGGGGGACGATTTCTGTTTATTTCTAACAAGCTGATGGAGGAGACCCCCAAACTGCTCACAAGAAAAGGATTAAGAAGATATTCCAACGGCCTTCAGAGTGTGTGGGGTTTTCAGGCTCTTTCCCGGTCACCTGTGGCCTGCCCTGGGGTCTGCAAGGTCAGGTTCACGTGCCCCCCGCCACAGGGCCCACCGGACCCCGTGCTGGCCTGTGCTGGCCGGCCTGGCCCCTGAAACTTTGTCTCCAGCACCCCCACCCCATTCCGGCTGCTGTGCGGGGCTCCCGGGCTGGAGAAAGGCCTGGACGGTGGGTGGTACCCATGTGGCTTCATGGCCATGGAATCTAACATTTTTAGGGGTGCCAGAACCCTGGACTCTAGTGGGCAACCCCCCAAGTTGTAAGTGTGGACCACACCGGGCCTTGGGCCCTGCACTTGCAGCCCAGCCCACGAGACAGTGGACCTCCAGGGGCAAAGCACCAGGCAATGCTCGCCCCTCTGCCCTGGGGAGGTCAGACCCCACCTCTCACACTCGGCCTTGGCCACAGCATCGGCCACGTGTCCCGTGGACAGGGGCACCTGCTCACTGAGGCTCCTCCCTGTCCCCACACCTAGTGAGAGGGGGTGCTCAGTGGGGGCTCAGGACAGCGGTCTGGGGCGCACGGCGTCCCCAACACCAGGGCCTTCAGGCTGCAGGGACATTCGTCTGGTGCTGTATCCACACTTCTCTCCCTCCAGGGGGCCTGCGGCCACTCACCTCATACCCGGGGTCACCCCGTGGCCCGGGAGGTCCTCTGGCGGGCTGCAAGACAGGAAAGAAGGGTCAGTCCGAGGTAGCATTCTGGGTGTCCCCAGAAGCGGGCGAGGTCCCACACTCACCTGGCACTCGAAGGAACAGCACTGTGGGAGAACAGAGCGCACGTTAGACGACAGGACTCAGCCTGAGCCCTGCTGGGGCCGCGGGGGCGGGGCTGCCCATGGCCTGGACAGTGGGGGGGGGCACCGAGGGAGAGGTGGGGGGCAGAGGAGACAGAGGGGAAGGGGGATGGGAGGGCAAGGAAGGGGCTCCTACCACTTGCTCCACGTTGTTTTTCTGAAAAGTGAAACGGAAAAGCGGAATTAATTTCTATCCAGGGCCATGGGATGGCCCAGCCTTCCGGACTCAGGCGCGAGGGTGGAGCGGCCACTCACGATCATGTCGATGATGGTGTCAATGGTCTGGCTGATGACCTCCTCCGCGTCCCGGCTCTGCCCCCAGTCAGCTGCCGTGAAGTTGCGCCGGTAAGTGTGGTCCGTGGCAATGATGCTCAGACGTGGCTCCTGGTGTGGATGAGGGACGAGGCTGAGCCGCCGCTCGGAGCCCCGCCTCACCCGGCCGCTACTCTTCCTGGGGCCCCGCCTTGCCGCGCCTGCACCTCTGCACCCTGCAGACCATGCCCGGCGCCCCTGCGCAGAGCAGGCCCGGGGGGGGCTCCTACCAGGTGGTCGGGTGTGATGGCCACGGAGAAGACTTTGATGCCCAGGTGCTTGGCCTCGTTGACAGCGTCTTCCAGGCCCCCGCACGGCTCCTTGTAGCCTTCCAGGGGGTGCCCGTCCGTCACCACGATCAGGTACTTGTTCTCCTTCAGGTGGGAGCCCCTGCGAGGGGGGGGGTGGCGGTGAGGCCCTCAGGCCCTCCCCCCACCCTAACAGCTCGGGGCACCCCTGCAACACAGCTGAGCCCCCCCAAGATGGGAGGTGAGGAGCCGGGGGCAGAGCCCCAGAGGGAGACCCAGACCCAAGTGCAGCTCTCAGGGGCGGATTCCTGCCATGCTGGGCAGGGGGTGCCCTCCGTCGATGCTGCCTGTAAAGTGGGCTTCGATCAAGGGTGTTAAAACAGAAAATAAACGCTTGCGGGATCACATTTCTCTGAAACTCCGTCTTGGAAAACACACACATATCCGGGGGGCATACAGGTCCTGGTCCCCCTGCGGCGCTCGGATCAGGAGGCCCCTGACCACAGGTGGCGGGAGGGGTCGGCTGAAGAGCCATCCTTGGTGGTGGCCGGGGCCCCTGGTGGCTGTGGCCGGAGACACGGGGGCTGTGGCCTGGGGCACTGGGGGTGTGGCTGGGGGCACTGGGGGTGTGTGGCTGGGGGGCACTGGGGGTGTGTGGCTGGGGGCACTGGGGGTGTGGCCGGGGGGCACTGGGGGTGTGTGGCTGGGGGGCACTGGGGGTGTGTGGCTGGGGACACCGAGGGCTGTGACCAGGCTGAGCTGCAGCTGGAGTGGCTCCTCTCCCCTGATCAGCCATGGCTGCTGTTGACTATTCACTGCGGCAGCTCGGACGTTGTGTGTGGGGCCAGCTTGGGGGGCACTGGTACCCTTCCAGGAAGGTCCTCTGTGTCTCTGACGCTTGGTCACAGGGGAGGCAGTGACTGGGGCACTTCTGGCCCCGTGGACGCCTCTACCTTCAGTGGTTGAGACAGTGGACAGCTGGAGAGGGAGCCCAGGGGTGGACAGTGAGCCTTAGGTCGTGGGCACCAGTGTGACGCCTTCAAGCACCAGGATTGCCCCTGGGGCCGACCACGAGATGCAGGAAGGCCGTGCAGCTTCCACGGATGCACAGGCTTCCAGATCGCAGCCGCGTGCGGCTGGCACGGCACTCACCCCACGAGCAGCTCCTCCAGCCCCTTCTTGATGGCGCAGTCCGTGTATGTGCCCTTGCCAAAGTACTTGACTGCATCCACCCTGGCCTTGAGGGCATCGCGACCGCCGGGCATGCGGGTGAGCGAGCTGATGATCTCCACCTCGTCGCTGTAGTGCAGCGCGCCCGCGTTCCACGCCAGGTTGCGGTCACAGCGGTAGTACCTGCAAAGCACAGGGGGACCTGGCAGACTCCCCCCGGTCCTGGCGCTGCGCTAGCCACCTGCGCCTCCCGTTTCACAGGGCACCGACTGCCCAGCCCGGCCCCTCCCTGGAAGCCCAGACTGGACTTCCTGTGGCCCTAGATGCTGGGTTCCTCCCCCGGGGACCACACATGGAGGGGAGGGGGTGGCCAGGAGGGCCGGCCCCCGCCAGCGAGTGACCACCGTGTCCCTGATCTCAGGGGTCCTCGGGTAAGGAGCTGTTTGCACCGGCAAAGCAGGACAGGGCCACGGGGCGGGGCAGGGGGACAGGGGAGGTGGGGGCCAGTTCTAAGTGTGACACTGGTGGGGTCCCTGTGGATCTGAGGGGCTGCCTCTCTGCCCCTGTGCCCCTTGGCTGGAGGCCTTTGGGGGTTTGCTCTAGTGGAGCCTGGGGGAGATGTGCCTGCCAGCCTGTTCAGCAGAGGGGGTGACCCAGGCCCCTGTAGTGATGCTAAGAGCATCAATAGCAGGAAGAGCTTACCCCATTTCACAGGTGGGGAAACTGAGGCATAAGAAATTGAGTAATGAGGCCAAAGGCACCTGGAGGGGGTGTCAGACCTCAGGGGCTCGGACATCTGGCTGAGTTCAGGGTTTCAGGTCATACGTCCCACGCTGGGCCGCCCCCACCCTCTGACCCTGCAGCCCCCTTGTGGTGGGCGGGAAGCTCTGTGCCCTGGTCATCGAGTCAGTCAGTCACCAGGGACGGGTGGGACGGGGGCTGGGCCCTGCACAGCTGAGTGGAGGGGGAGGAGCTTGGTTCTGACTATGACCCTCCCCCCGTAGCCTTCACCTCCCATGGGCGTGTCCTCCCCCCCCCCCCCACCCCACAGGGCAGACTCATCAGACAGACGAATGGTAAGTGAATGAATGACGCGTGCTGTCCCCAGACCCAGAAGGAAGCTGGCAGGCCCTGGGGGCTCCCTGGACCGGAACACTGAGGACGCTGCGATGTTGGGTCCAGGACCCGACTCCGCCGTCCACACGGCCGAGGTCAGCGTCCAGGCAGCGGCGACGGGTGCCCCCTCCAGGCACAAGGCAGAGCCACAGAGCCTCCCGCCAACTCCTGAAGCTCACTCAGTTGAGGCGGGGAGGCATGTTTGGGGTCCCGGGGGCCCCCGACGCCTTGCTGACCCCGGGCCCCTGGCTGACCCGGCTGACTGTTGCCGCCCTGCCAGTCGGCTCCGTCTCAGACTCAGCCCTTTGCTGGCGGCGCATCAGAACCCGTGTGGACGCGGGAGGGTGCTGCAGCGGCCTGGCCACCACCCCGCCCTTTTCCAGGAGAAAGGGGGTCAGCACTGCCTGCGGGGCCCCAGGGCCCACCGCCCTCCCGGAGAGGCTCGTGGCAGTGCGGGATCGAGGGTGAGGCCTGGCCTCTCCTACCTGTCTCTCAGGTTGTCGATGAAGCGCTTGGTGAAGGACTTGACCTTGTCCACCAGGGCCCCGTAGGGCTTCAGCCTCAAGGCCACGCTCTCGGAGGTGTCCAGCACAAAGAAGAGGTCCACAGGGCAGTCTGGGCCAGGCATGGGGGGAGGGGCCTCAGGGTCAGGCCTCGCGCCCGGCCAGGGGCAGGGCGGCCCTGAGAGCCCCCACGAGGGTCCTGCGAACCCCGCCCTGGTCGGCAGGACCTTCAGAGCCAGGAGACAACACACACGGCGGCCACGTTTCTCGACCGCCTGCCAGGCCGGGAATCAGATGGAGTGAACTGAGGCAGAGAAGGAACTGCGCCCGCGGCCCAGGCGCTGCAGGAGGGGCGCTGAAGCCTCAGGCCCGGACGCTGCTCGTCCTCCCCGCGGGGGCCCCCTCCCCAGTCCAGCCCGATGCCCCCCAGGCCTGGGAAGCAGAGGGGACCCAGGGCATCGGGGAATTTCGAGGCCCCAGGCACCCCAGCTCTCATGCCCAGGGAAGGGTCCAGCCCAGGTCCCCGGGCAGCAGAAGCAGAGTCAGAGATGCCGCCGGTCACTTACCCTGGAAGGCGACGGCCCTGTCATTGCCCGGGAGGTCCTGAGCGGCCGCCCAGCATGCCTGCAGCAGCAGAGGAACCAGAGCGCGGGCCGGCTTCATGTTACCGCCCGGGCGTCAGCATCGAGCGAGGGCAGGGGTCGGGTGGGCCGGTGTGGCCAGGGAGAGAGAGAAGCTGTCTCTGCTCCCGCAGGGAAGTCACAGCCGGGGAGGGCGGACAAGGGAGGGAGGGAGGGAGGGAGGGAGGGAGGGGCGGAGGAGGGGGAGGAGCTGGGGCGGGGGCGGCGCGGAGGGCGGGGGTCTCCCCTGAGTGAGTCACGCTGCTGGGCTCTCCTCTCCTCTGGGCTCCGGGAAGCTCCTTCCTCTGTTCTGGGGACGCGGGTCCGCTCACCCCCACTGAGCGCAGCGAAACTGCAGCTGAGTTTACGGCGTCTGAAGGGGAATGTGTGAGGCGGACTCTCCTTCCAGCCCCGCTAGGCTGTGTCTCACCAGACATCTTGTGGGATCGGCCGGCACCCAGCTCCCTACCAGTGACCTTGCTGTCAGCCTAAAAGTTCCAAATCCACTGCTTTGTCAGGTTTCCCAGTCATCGCTCATGTAAGTATTTCTTCACCAGTCAGCAGATACATATTTGCAAAAGGTACTTCAATTTTTACTACGGGAAAGTCAACAACAGCTCCAGGAACCATCCCCCGAACAGCACAGGGTCGGCGCCAAACTCCCGTGTAGACGAGCACCCGTGTGTGACTTGTGAGCCTCCTAGAACTTAACAGTCTAGTTAGTGTTGACCAGGAATTAACACACATCGTGTGTTATATCTTATTATATACTGCATCCTTCAATAGTCGGCGAGAGGTATTAGGTTATTAAGAGATTCATCAGGAAGAGAAAACACATTCACAGAACCGCGTTGTGTATTTCAGAAAAACCCGTATATGAGCGAGGCCGTGCAGTTCAAACCTGTGTTGTTCAAGAGTCTTTTATGCAGAGACCCTGATTCTGAGGACGAGTGTGAAGGCCCCACCGTAGGATCCTGTGGGGTGGGCTCCGGATGTGGCCAGACCCACCCCTGCCCCAGAGAAGGTTCCAGAAGGCCTCCTCCAGAGCTGGAGTTGTTGACACGTATTTAATATCGGCCTAAACGTTTTCTAGTTTAAAAACATACAACAGTTGTATAACCAAAACCAACTTTGAGAAGTCCTTCGGAAACGACGCTTCTCAGTGATTGCTGCCAGGTTTGGCCCAGTGCTGGCCCCAGACCCACGTGGCGGCCTCGCGAGCCTGCCGCGGGGGCGGCTCTCCCTGCCTCCGGCTCCGTCCCCGCTGCCTGCTGCAGCTGGGCGCCGCGACACCCGCTTCCGGGCACCCAGGTCACACAGATGCACGTTCAGACCCCGTGCGAGGCCGCCCCCTGCTTGCCGGCTTCCCCGTTTATCTCAAAGTGCCGAAGCGCTGATGTTCCCGCAGGTTTGGGGGACGCAGGACTAGGCTGTGCTGCCGACGGCGGGGCGCCCAGCCAGGCCTCGCACAGACCCTGACCCGGGAGCCTGAGCAGCGCGCGTGTGAGCGCAGCCATGGGGTCTGCGAATGACTCGTTACGCAGCAGCCAGAAGGCGTCACTAGCACCTGCCTGCCCGCAGCCCCCGAGCTCAAACGCGGCCTGACCTTCTCCAAGGTTCGGGGACCACGCGAGTCTGCAAGGCAGAAGGAGGCCCTGCTGGGGCCTCACAGGAGCTCAGCAGTGACCTCCTCACAAATTAGCATGTTTTCTTACAAAAAGGTATGTGTTCATCATAGGAAAATTACAAAACTAGAAAAACACCATCTTGTTTCACTGCCCAGAGGTAGTAAGATCTGACACCTTTGTGTCTCTTACTGTTCTTTCTGCCGTAAACACTTTTAAACTTTTAATTCAAATTCGAATTAGTTAACATTCATTGTAACATTCGTTTCAGGCGTACAACGTAGTGATTCGACCCTTCGCCACATCACCCGGTGCCATCGTGATGCTGCATCCTTCACCCCATCGCCGTTTCCCCCGTCCCTCCCCCCACCCCACCTCGCCCGGAACCATCCGTTTCTTCTCTGCAGTAAACAGTCTTTCTTGGTTTACATCTCTGCTTCTTTTTCCTCCCATTTCCTTCTTCTTTTGTTTCTTAAATTCCACATATGAGCGACATCATATGGCATTTGTCTTTCTCTGACTCCTTTTGCTTCGCACAATACTCTCTAGTTCCATCCACGTTGTTACAAACGGCAAGATTTCATTCTCTTTTTTTTAATTTGTAAAATGTTTATTCACTTTTTGAGAGACAGAGAGACAGAACAGGAGTGGGGAGGGGCAGAGAGAGACACACACAGAATCCGAAGCAGCTCCAGGCTCTGAGCTGTCAGCACAGAGCCCGACACGGGGCTCAAACTCACGAACCACGAGATCATGACCTGAGCCGAAGTCGGACGCTCAACTGACTGAGCCCCCCAGGTGCCCCGAGATTTCATTCTTTTTGATGGCTGAGCAACATTCCATTGTGTATATAAACCACATCTTCTTCATCCATTCGTCAGGCGATGGACACTTAGGCTCTTTCCATAGTTTGGCTACTGTTCACAGGGCTGCTATAAACATTGGGGTACGTGCGTCCCTTTGAATCAGTATGAACCAGGGTGATTGCTGGGTCATAGCGTGGCTCTATTTTTGATTTTTTTGTCCAGAGTGGCTGCACCGGTCCGCATTCCCACCAACAGTGCACGAGGCTCCCCTTCTCCGCATCCTCACCAACACCTGTTGTGTCCTGTGTTGTTAATTTTAGCCACTGTGACAGGCGTGAGTGGCATCTCTGCTGGAAACGTGTCTGCAGATGTGTGGCCCCCTGGGGTATCTGTCTGTATGCCTTCATCTGTGTTCTTTCCTGAGTATAAAAGTGATGCAAGCATACGAGAGAAAACGTGAAAAATTCAGAAAATATAGAAAAGAAATAAAAAACCATCCTGAGCTGCAGTGGTGCCATCCTGCATTTTCGGCCGTGGTTGAGGCGAGGCTGCCTCCCTCCTCGCCGTCTGGACCCTCTCTCTCCGGCAACACCGCACGGTCCTCCTGAGGGGGGATCCGCTCGGCCCCCAGCCCCCCACACCCAGGCCGTCCATGCGGAGCTGGCCCCTGGCCTGGCTCCTGCCTCTGCCCTGAGGGGCCATCCATCCGCGGGGGACTGAGGTGGGCTCGGGGGTGCAGGGCTCTGCGGCCTCTGCTTGGAGAGAAGGGGAGGTGGGCACTGAGGGTGACGTTTGTCCTCACACCCCGCTGGGCTGCCTGGGCCTTGCTGACCCCTCTGTAGGCAGGACATCCGCGCCCAGGGGGTCCCTTGGCTGAGGTCCCAGGGCCAGCCCTCGGGGACTGGGTCTGCACCCTCGGTGCCCAGCCCCGCCTTCACGAAGCACCGGAAGCCTCAGGGCAGGGGTGTGTGTCTGCCAACAGGGAGCGGCTGCAGGGAGAGGGCAGGGCTCCCCGCCCCTGAGGCCACCAGGCCCCCTGCAGGGCACACCCCAGGGAGCATGACCTGGTGCATCTGGGCCGGACCGGCTGGGCCTGGCAGCAGGGGGGGCGGGGGGGGCGGGGGACTGGGCACCTGCAGCAGGGTCCCCGCCCCGGGAAGCCTCACGGACAGGCGGGTGCGGGGCCCAGAGCAGGGTTTCCTCCAATGGCCTCCAACGTGCACGCCTAAGTGGGAGAGTGTGTGTGAGCGTGTGTGCACCGGAATACATGTGGGTGTGAATGTGTGAGCGCATGCACGTGCCCGATGGAGCACGAGTGTCCCCGTGGGGGTCCCCACACCAGCAGGCCGGCTCCCCCGACCCTGCTCTGAGGGGTGGGGCAGGGAGGGGCGTGGGGCTGGGGAGCCCTGCGGAGACCCCGGGAATGCACCCTGCTTTTCTCTCCCTCCCTGTCCCTGTGACTCTTGGGGCCTAGAAAACTGCGAGCAGGGAAGGGGCAGTTACCCGCCGGACTCTCTTGTTAGCGATTTATAAACCAGCAAAAGTGGGTGGGAGCCAGAAGGAAAGAACACCCCCCCAAACGCCTTTGGCCGCCTCAAAGCCGCCATAGGGGACTTGGTGCTGGTGGGGGGGCTGCCAGTCCCCTCCCGCCCCCCACACCACCTCCCAACCCAGCCCGGCATGGGGGGCTTCTGTCTCCCTTAAAAAGCAACCCTTCCCCACCCCCCAACTTTTCCTGTGCCCTCCACCCGTGTTCTGCTAGAGGCCGAAGACGGGGCTCAGTGAGGTGCAAGGGGAAGCACGCCCCCTGCTGGATGCCCGGCCACAGTCAGGGCCCGAGCTGTGCCTGGACCCCAGGACACGTCCACCCCACGTGCCCCCAGCCCATGGGGCCCTCAGCAAGGGGCACCACCCGGTGGCCGTCCTCCCCCAGCCCAAGGTCAGGGCGCACCCCAGGAGGGGCAGCGGGGGCCTTTACGAAGGGGGTGGCAGGGAAGCCTTGGGGGCAGGAGGTGAGGACTGAGCGTCGGGGGGTCCACTCGGACCCCTCGCTCTGGTCTCCAGGTCGTTGTCCCTGACGGTCAGGGTGATGGCTGACGCCCCCGGGGGGAAGGTGGACACACTTGTGGGCTGTGGGGGCACCTGCCCCGCCACACAGTGGTGGATGGGGTGACATAGGGGGTGTCTCAGGAGCCGGCCCAGTGACGGCTGGAGTTTCCAGAATGACCCCCTCCTTCCCAGGGGCGTGGGTGACAGAAAGCTGCCTTCATTTATAAACACCACAGACCCAAGCTATCTTTGCATCTTGAACAAAGACCTATTTGATTTCTTTTTTGTGCCTCAACTATTCGGTGAGGTTTCCTCCCAATTTAGAACGTGATTCAGCGAGGAAAGTAATATTTTCCACGGCTTACACATGTGGGTCCGTGGATGCGGGGGCTAGAGCAGATGCCAGACTGGCCCCCGCCCGGCCCTCAGCGGGCACACGGCCGAGTGTGGACTCTGTCCTGGGCTCCCGCCCCTGCCCTCGGCACGGACCAGCCTCTGCTTCTCACCCTCGTTGCCAGCTCGACCGTGAGGGGCCCGGGCTGGGATCCAGGAACCCAGGACGGGGCTCCCAGCCTCTGTCTGCCAACCGCACGATGAGCCAGCCGGACAGGAGGCAGCCAGTGGTCCGATCGGCCGCCGGGGTCCGGCCGGCGTAAGCCAGCCC